TCGACATAAAATACATTTGAAAAAAAAGATAAAATAAGTAATAAATAAATAAACAACTATTAAATATACAAGAAAGAAAATAAAATAATAATTTATATATACATATATATATATACATATAGACACATACACACACGCATACATACATGCACATTGATAAAGTGGAAATATTAAATAATTGAATAATCTTTATATAATATTCTGTGCCGGGTTGTTCAAATCTTGAGTACCATGAACAAGAATGTACTTAGACCATAATTCATTTTGTATAAAATCTGACAAAAACTTAGCAAAAAATATATATATAAAAGTAAATCCGGTGAGATATGATAGCTTTTAAGGCACTGCAGATTTTAATATGTATGTATATACAAAGTTAATCTCCGTAAGCTTCATAAGACTTTCTTGAGGAGATTTTCTGTTATGAGATTATAAGGTAGTGATCAGTCCATATGTCTAGGATTACGATGCCTCATTTGTCAAGGTTTGTGGATTTTGTTTTAAGTGCGTTGATTTGTGATGAAGTCGTTTGGGGAAAGATATGATGTGCTATGCATGGATATGCAATACAACGTCGTATAGCCACCGCAATAGTCCCTTTTATCCTCACTCGGTAAATACTGTTGTGTTTTAGTAAATCATTCGCAAAAGTCAGCTGTGTCGTACAGCTTGAACAATACCAATGTTTTAAAATGTTTTTAATGGTATCTGTGAATAACTGGCTTATAAACGAGGCTAAGCATGTACAAATGAGTCTGGGGTCATCGAAAACAGCGGTATGCATTGAATGCGAAACTGGTGTATTCTCCACCCTGCTTTCCCCTATCGACCTTTTTCGTACCTTTTAAAACACTTCTAGTTATATTATATATTTGTTATATTTGTTATATATTTGCTTTTTGTTATGCTAATGTTCTCTATTGTCTTGGTATTCTCAAAGGAGTTTCAACATTTGAATATGAAAAGATATTCTGAAAAAGATTAGTGAGGTAGGTTAGGTTTAAAACGTTCTTAAGTCGTTGTTGCATACCGCTGTTTTAGAAGACCACAGACTCATTTGCACAGGCTTAGCCTCGTCTATAAGTCAGATGACATTAAAGTGTCCTTGGGATTTCAAAACATTGGTATTGTTCGACTGGCACATTCTTTACATTACAGTTGTCTTTTGCAAATGATTTGTTCTTAAACAAGGCTAAGCCTGTGCAGATGAGCCTTTAGTCACAAAACACAGCGGTATCTACCGAATGAGAAAAGGGACTATTTAGGAGTAGCACCAAGAGAGCCATTATCCCCCCCCCTCCCCCCCCCCTTCCCACACACACACATCCCCTGGATCATGCCATATAGGCTTTGAACCGTCACGTGATGGCAGCCAAGACAGGAGGCACAACATTCTTTCCCCTGGGAAACTGGGAAGTTCCGTTTATCATGTACATCAGATTAGACCGGATTCAATTGGTTCTACCTCCTGTAATGGCTGCCATCACGTGATGGTGCAAAGCATCTATACTTCAGTTTCGAGTTCTCATGGTTAGTGTCGGTTGTTTCTTTTTTTTTTTTTTTTTTTTTGGTAGAATATTCATGTGTTTCATTTAACGGCTAACCTTGAGTACTGAAATGAGTAACTGTAATTGAGGAACCAAGTAGAAAAAGAACTCGAAAAAAGTCTATTTATACGGGTATGATAAAACGGAAAACAACCGCATTTCCCAGTCAAGTGCCCATAAAGATGTCTGTTGATCAAGTATTCATTGGTTTTATTGGTTTTATTGAGTTCTTTCGATTAGGATGTCGAACACCATCTATACGAATGAAAACGAAAGATATAGAGACAACAAAAAAATTCAAGTGAACAACTCATTCAAAAATGATTCAAGTTTAAATTAACAAAAGCTTGCTCTACTAATGATATTAATGCAAAATCTAAATAGACCTGCACAACTGAACTAAGATAAGTATACTCATCTAATAAAATAAAACTTGCTAGACACCTCGGCATCATCTCTGAGTATATACACAACCACGCATGCGTGGGAATGAAATTAGATCTATTTATGACCGCTCGATATCAATCAATATGTATATTAACCGATAAATGGCTGACCAGTGTAGCTTCTAGAGGTTGTTAATTAGCTCTTCCGTTCATATCCTATCGCGCACTTAAGTAATCTATATAGCTCTTAGGAGCTTATCATCTCTCCGACTCAAAGTACCATCTGTATCCATACCACGTATATAAACTTTTCTCTAGTTTTAGATTCCTTTGAAAATTATCTGCCTGTGGCGGGTAAATGATATAGTTTTTAAAAGTAATAGCACGAAGATTTTTTTTTTTTTTTTTTT